CAGGCTGCTGCCCCGCCAGCTGGCTAGGTAGCTCTGTAAATAAGGCTTTTCCCTATTAAATACCCTTATATTTCTACCTGACTCCGTATTGGTAATTTCCCACTATACCATTGCACCCAAAACTCACAGTTGTTGTGTTTACACATGATCAAGTCAGCCAAAATTCCTAGCATGGATGAGGACGGGACTCATTAAGTATACTCAGTGGATTTAAAAACAACACATAAAGGTTTAAAGGGAAAGTGGTGGGCAAGAGAAATTGGAGGAGGGTTAGTAGGAGGTGGATTTGATTAAAACATATTCATATACGAAATTCTCAAACAATTAAAATGTAAAACTAATGTTGAAAAAAAGAATGAACATTTTAAATAGTAAATTGTTGTCAGTATTTGTAAATTTTATTTTAATGCTTTTTATTTCTCCTAAAAAGGGCCAGATGGTCATGTGACTAGATATGATCTGGATTGGCTGGTGAAAAATAGCTATGAAGGGCAAAAACAAAAGGTTATCCAACCTAGAATATTATGGAATGCTAAACTCTACCAGCAAGCCCAAGTTCCGTCTGTTGATTTCCAGAATTTCTTAAAAACAAATGATGAACTGAAGAAGTTTCTGCAGAACTTTCTGCTATATGGAATTGCATTTGTAGAAAATGTCCCTCCCACTCGAGAGCACACAGAGAAGCTGGCAGAAAGGATCAGTTTAATCAGGTAATTTACTAACTTTTTGAGATCCAAAGTAACTAATTTTAGAGCATTTACATCAATTAACAGATGCAAAATGATCTAACTCATGGAGCATTTGCCTCAAATGCATCAGGCCCAGGTTCAGTATCCAGTACTGCCACCCCCAAAATAATCTCTATCCCTCCTTCCCTCTCTCCCCACCTCTTTCTCCTCCTTTCCTTTCCTCCCCTCTCCATATTACTTCCTCCCTGTACTTTATTCTGCTCAAAAGGAGCCTGAACTTGTACTGCATTCTTAAAATGTAGTCTAAAAATCATCCAGTTTTCATCTTCATAGATTCTTAACTCTGAATCAGAGATGTGTTGTTAATGCTTCATTGGATACATTGCATTGCACTTAACTAGCATATTCACACCCTACAGTTTATTTTGATCATTATAGCAACTTTTAATCATGTTATGTTGTCTGTTCCACTGATAAGCACCTGATGCTAAGATACAAACAGTGATTTTTCCAGGATCACTATGACAGTAAGCAGTACACCTTGGGTTTCCTTATCCTAAATAAGTTCTTTTCATTAATATACTCCATTTCACATACAGATTGATCTACATTAAGAGTGACATAAACTTACTTCATTACAAATAGTACTTGTTTTTAATTTAATAAAATTAATGTGTAACTAATTCATTGTTCTGACCCACAGGGCATCAACCTGGGGCAAGAGAGTCAGGGATAGGGAATGGGGACAAGAGTCGCTGAAAGACAGGATTCTGATCAAGTGGCAAACTTTATTTTTCCCAGGCTAGCTTATATAGTCAGTAGAGCAGGATATGGGGAGGGGTAGAATGGGTTGTTTGTGCACCAGGTGTTAGTGTAGTCAGGATATTAGGAAGCCACAAAGAGGATGTTTGGCAGGATAAAAAGTTCATGAGTAAGAGGTCCAGGAAGGGGTTGACTAAGTGACTGAGCCTGTGGGTGGAGGGCTGGGTTGTTTTTTTTTCTTTTCTTGAGCTGAGGTTCTAAGGAGCTGCTATGTAAGGTTAATATACAACTATGTGGCCGGCCAAGCATGGCCTAGGATCTCATGCCAAGCCCTGAGTTCTTTGGCTCCCAACAATTCATTGTGTTACCCAAAATACCAAAGTATGGTGGGTCACTTGGACAGTGCTAATAGAGTATAATCAAATAGCATTTGTGAGCCATTTAGTTTGCAACACAGTTTCAAAACTCTCAAATAAAGGAAACTGCTGCTAAGCAAACAATTGAGGAGGTTTGAAAACTTTATTACAAAAGGAAAACCATTTTCTGTTTGCTCTTGGGTTTAAAGAACTCTGAAAGCTAAACAATTAAAGTATCATTTCCTCAAATCTAGGTGTTGTGGTTGCAGTCCTTTAATTGCAGAACCTGGGAGGCAGGGGCAGTTGAAACTCTGAGTTCTAGACCAGCCTGGTCTACAGAGTGAGATTCATGACAGACAGGGCTACACAGAGAAATACATCTTAAAATACCAAAAATAAAATTATCCTTTCCACAGATCTGAACCCACTGAGAAAATAAATGCAAAATCAAATCTATTACTCTGTTGGTGAAATACAATACAGCAAGTCTCATAAGTATAACAAAAATATCATTTTGTCATTTTCTTGTTCCTCCGTGTTTAAAAGATTAAATGAAAACAAACATCTCTATGACATGAATAATATGGAAACTCTTCTGCCTCCCTTGATTATTAGATTATCTAATATATTAGAAAGAGACTGTTGTTGAAAAATCTGAATATTGATTAAAGACACTAGTTGTTATATAAATTAATTAAAATTGACACTACAAACAGTCACATCATTGTTTCTATAAAAGGAAAGTAAACATAG